TTTATAAAAAAAAGTGACTTAGATAAAAACCTGGTTGCAAAATGAGTTTGGTTGCAAAATGCAGCTCTAGAGTGGCTGTTAATTTGCTCCGTATGCGATGCATGGCCTTTAAATATCAACAACGCTCCGATATCCCTAATGCTTATATATCTTACATACCTTTCAGAATGATTGTGTTTACACCGCCGGGAAAATGCGCTGGAAACTTGTCCCTATCAACGGGACCCATATGGTTGGAAGAGCCGACGTCTTGTCAGGCGCTGGGTGGCGTTCTAGAAGGAAAAGCGGATAGCGGAGAAACTCGCGGACGGACTCTTTGTTGGATGTCCTTCTGCGAAACCATAAGAATTCCCGGAAATGCAGTTTTGCCATCCGCTCCGGGAACTTGCACTTTTGAAACAAAACTTGGTTCAGCGATATTTAACATGCAAGCTGGTACTTGTATCACGTTGGCTGGGCACATTGTACGGACGACGACCTATACCGTAACAAGTTACGTGAACTGCAGGTAAGCATCAGGTGTGCTTCATGAACTACCTCCCTTCTTTGACCATAATGAGTTTATGTCTGCCTGCAAGTTCTTCTGTCTGATTTATTATTTGTCTTATGTTTTTTCTGTCTGTTTATTTGTTTGCTTGTGTATATATTTCTGAACTTCACCTTTGTAACTTAATTTGCATGGGAATTCAAATGAATGGAGACATATGTTCACTCCAGGTTTGATCTCTGCAGAGCAAGCAGAGACAATAATCTGCAATACACCTTCCGTCCAATGAATAACGAGTCGTGTGCGGGACTATCTCCAGATCACGTGAACTTGATGCCTGAAGTGCGATTGGCCACTGTGCCGGAAACATGTGACGTAATGGGAGGAAGTGACGCTGGCGTGACTTTCTATAACAAGATAAATTGCCTGTTTGATTGGTGCCAAATTGCAGAAGGCAGTGAGTAAAGTAGTTCATTAAATTGGATTTTCTTTATTAACACTTTTTTTTATAAAGAACGGAGCAAAATACTTAAATGATAACAGACGCTTCGATATACCAGTAGCATCACCGGCTTTGCATGTACCATGGATAAATAGTATTAGCAAGTCCGGCATTTCGCCGAAAAAAATACGATCGTTTTAAGAGAAGTTATAAATTCATTTTATTCAACAATATCTTATAGTAAATTTTTTCTTTAAGTTTTGATTACTTTTCATTAGTTTTAAATTAATTTCAGTTAATTTAATTTTTGCTTAAGGTTTTTACGTACTTGTCATAATATATTTCTATATGTAACAGCACTGGGACGTGTGTAGCGAAGTTTTAAGAAATAAATAAATAATCAGAAAAAGTATAAAATAGCTATTTTAATGGTTAAATATATATATATATATAGCAATTCTTTGCGTAATTACCAAATCATTCACAACCTATAGGCCTATTTTCGACGTGACCCAACGACAAGTCCAAAGGTAAGACTGTCTTTTATTTGAAAATGAGCGAGAAAGCATTCTATTCTTGTTTTGTTAAAAACTGTTAATATATTTCTGGGAACACATTTTCTAGGCGATGCAGAGAACACTCTGGATAAGGCTTACATGCTCAGGAAGTTTGGTGACAGGCGTTGTGCCACACCGCGGAACCGAATATATCTCCGGTATTCAAATGGAGCCGATGCCGCCGGGGAATGCAGATCATTAGGAGGACTTTATATACAAGGTGTAAACATATCTCAGTGTGTCCTTTACCTTTGCAAGGAAGACGATCTTGATAAAAAGGACACGAGACGCTTTGTGTTTAGTGAAATCGACGGCTGTCCGCCCAATACATACTTCAGTAGAGCCAGCATTTGGGCGTCGTCAGCCGAGTGCCGCTCCCTCAGAGGTGTCCCAGAAAATGAGAAGTCAACGCAACTCGCACTATGTACTGTAGATATATGCCAGGCTGTTCTATATAATGGAAGGCAGTTTGTTCCACTACCTGCTAATGCATGTCCAGAGACGTCACTAAGAGCACGGGCTGCGCTGGGCACAGAAGCATCGCGTTGTAGGAGTTTAGGCGGAGAGAGTGAGGGAACTGTGAAAGACACATCCCTCAGGATCTGCTCGTTACAAATATGTCCATGGATACCCTTCGGTAAGTGAAATAATTACAACTGGGTCATAAGATGAGTGCGTTTTTTGCATTGTAACACATTTTAAATTTTCAATCCTATCTTGACCTGAAATAGGCGTTGGTTTGAATTCTGTTTCAATTGTATATTATAGAGTCTGCTAACTTCCTGAACCATTTTCTGTCTTATAGATCTTATATTTTGTCGGCATTCACACAACACCAGTGCATCGAATCCTACAGGAAAGCTGTCCTGTCTTCCTTGCGATGCCAACGGAGAGTTTTATGAAGACCCAGCGCTCTGCAGCCGCTACTATGTGTGTGACGGCAACAGAATACAGGACGTGGCAATGCCGTGTGCGCTGGGGACTGCATGGAATCAGACGACAAAGACTTGTGACCATTTAAGGAATGTAAGATGCTAAATCTGTTAGACTTGATAATCATACCTCCTTTATATTTTTTAAAGATATTTTTTTGAAACACTAAATCACGATGACATAAAGAGTTTCATGTGTTGTTCAACTGTTGTCAAACCTGAGTGTCGATTATATTAAGAAGAAGCCTCGGGTGTGCAGTACCGTAGTGTTTCGTTCAGTTGTTCATCATTTGTTTGTGATTACACTGTAAATAAATGTACATGTAGGTGTACTTATTTCATTTAAAATTAATGTTACACTACTGTATATATAAATGTATATCATTTTAGATATGAAGAGAATTTAATATATTCAGAACACATATCCCTTCTTTCATATTGATAAAATGTAGGCCTATATTATAAATGTGATGTATTTTGTAATTTTAATTTTTTGCATTTTAATATTTGAGAACTACCCCAAAACCTCCTACCATCACTCTAGCGCATACCATCGTACATTTGGATTAAAAAGAAATGATAATGATAATGATTAATATGATAAATGATAAAACCAAAGGTCTCAGGTTGTTAAATGTCGGCAGTTGTTATAAATGTAACTTCCAGTATCAAAGTTATACATATTTATCAGCCTTATTCTCCTGGATGCCTAACAGCATTCACCCATTCAAGAAAGGATAATACAATACATTTGTATGTAACGTAACGAAATAACGGTATTCTCTAGATGGGGTGATAGGAACGATTTCAAAATATTTGACAGAGAGAGAAAGAGAACAAGAAAGCTTTTCCATCCCAGAATGTTATCAAAATTTTAAAAAGCATTCCAAAAGCACAGGCTGTCGCATCTAACACAATGAGTCACTTACCTCTGCATGTCAGTATTTACCAAATAAAACGTTTGTGCAGTCCTGGTGTTAGTTGCATTGAACTCTCGTTTTATAATAAATTCAGTCTCTATAAACTATAGATACACTCTAGTAGATAAACAATTAATGAATGTTAACACATAAGACGGATAAGTTTAATAAAGTATAATTGCTATTTCATTAGCTGTGTTAGATCTGCTTATAGAATCACGCGACAGCCTTTCCGGTAGATTGGCACACATTTTCTGCCTTCATTACTTACTGCACGTTTAGTTTTCTGCTCTACTTTCTTGTATGTGGTCCCTTTTTCTCTCTCTCTGATTTTATAGTACTTGTACTTGAAACATTTCTATGCCTTTAAAAATAATCATAATAAATGTTTTTTGTTTATATCTTTCGTAACACATTTTATCTTAAAAAAAAAAAACTTCTTGGTATTAACTGTATTTGGGTGCAGTGTTGGCACGTACAATATTTCGTGGTTATTTATTTTTTCATAGTCACAGTAGTGTCATACTCTTAATCGTTGTCATTCGATCACCATTAACAGTAGAAAGCGCGTGTTGATGAAGCCAAGTGTCGTTTTTTATTTTGATTCGCAATTGCTTCGTTTTTACTTGGTTATCGACAGAAGAGTTGGTCTAAAATTTGATGATGATGATAGGAACGGCTCTCATGTGTTGAACTCAAAGGATAGCCGATTCATTGACTATTACTGTCATTGAAGTCGGGTAACGAAATTAATTAAACGTTGCTGACTAAAACGTATTTGTCCAATATTTTTGGGTTTTGAGAATAGAACAGGCGAAGCATATATTGCTTTTGTCTTTCGGAGTTAAAAAAAACACTGCCTGTTCACATGTTTTATAGTTTCATAACTAACAAAGGCCTTATGTTTAAAACACGGCACATTATCAGCCATGTACATGCCAGTAGATTAATTACAAAAATCTGTTTTATTCCGACACAACAATTTCCCCGCATTTCCTGTACTTATTTTTATTTACCGATATAAACTCGGAGGCTTGTTCACAATGAATTTTGTCGACCTAGCTAATGAGCATAAACTGCATGGGGAGTATCGCTGAATGCAATCAGGTAAACAGATGTACCAAGTGTACTCCTATAATCGCCAGATTTTCTTTATTCTACTCAACGCCAAGGGGGGCGTGTTAGCTTGTTAATCTGATTGCATTCAGCGAGGGTCCCAGTTACGTTTGTGCTCATTATCTAGGTCGACGAAGTACATTGTAAACGGTCCCTAAAAAGGTATTAACTCCCTCATCTCCGTTAATAATTACAATAACAACTAGAAAAGAGAGCGCAGCCTCCGCCAAGATAAATAATTAAGTAATAATTAATTAATTCTCTAGCTGTGGCGTCTCTTCTTGACAGAGATAACAAATCATACTTTTTCTCATCACTAGTAGTTTAACACGTTATGCCTTCCTTTAAATTGCAAATCTGCTTTCAGGTTTTGCATAAATGCATGTTTTTACATGACTGATGAATCAAAAAGTACCGGTAATTGGAGTCGATCCTTATAACATTCGTTCAGTAGAAGGCCCATTTCAGACCTAAGACGCCCTTAACATTGATCATGTGCTCCAGAAAAAGAAGGCTGTTGTTTCAAAGATGGTATTGCTTAATTACAGATATAGTTATAAATTATCATTTTCGATCACACCGATGACAAATATAGAGACCCAAGAGAACAACACATGCCAGAAATATCATGGCATAAACAATGATAATCTGCACAAATGCAAACATATACACAGTCTCGTCGCACCAGTTGCCAGGTTCCATTATAACTTGTTCAAACCGAGGTTTCCATATTCCATATACCCACACATTGCCCAGTATGAACCAGACGAATAAGAACAAGGTCAGTATGCCCTCTGTAAATTTAGATGACCGCGACATGACTGGGTCCTCCATTTCGTCATCTTCGGCCTCGTACATTTGGTCCATTCTCTCCAGGCGCCTGGCTTTATGTTGTTTCCATATCAGAGCTAATAGTTTCAGAACACCGAAGCAGCCACCAACTAGTAGGTATATGGGGATTTTAGGTTGTTTTGGACATTCTTGAAGGTATTGAACGCCTGAAAAAAAGGTACCATTATTTCTGCTGACTAGGGGTTACTTGGTTGTTGGTACACATGTACGTCAGGTCAGGGGACGCAATCTTCTCATCAATAATTCCTGGAGAGTCCTTGCAGGAGATGGATCTCCACTTCATTTTTCAACCCCAGGTTAGGAACAGGTATTTGGTATATCTAATAGTAGTATGGAGTCGAGTAATCAGGTAACTACAGGGAAATCACTTTCAAGACATTTTGTCGTCAGAAGTTATTTGAGATAATTTAACAGTAATACACCGTATTTCATTTTTAGTTCTTAATCAAGGACCAGATACTACCACATGCAGAGTAAATCTAATGTCAAACCGTAAAATACGTTTATCAAATGCGCAAAGAAGTTTTAGAAAAGTGTTTAAAGAGCATTTCATTGCACAACCGTCCTCTCTCGTAGATTGTACTTACCTATACATATCATGGCCAGGGGTAAGCCCATGCACAGTCCACACACAACTGTCACTGCAACTGTGGAAGAAGTGTGAGAATAGAAAAGATCAAAGCAGCAAGTGTCTAGCGCAGATATAGAGTCGAGGATGCAGTCGCCAATTCTGATTTTTACACCTGGGTCTTGCAACGCCCTTTTAAGGCGTTCCGTTCGACTCAAGGTTTCAGCGCCTGTGATCTCTTCACGAGGAGGGTGACTAGGTCTTCGAAAACTGCCCCGAAAGCTGTCCCGAAAACTCCCTCTGTGTATAGAATTATAGTGCATATTGTCGATGTGAAGATTCAGTTGTAGACAGCTTTTATGCCTTTCTTCCAGGATTGTTTTGATTTCATTGAATTCTCTTTGAAAGATTTTCTCAAAGGTGCGTGCCATTAAAGCCGCTTAACTTGAGCTGTGCACGTCGTAATAAGCTTCAATCCAGTAGCTACGGGTCGAAATTACATAACTTTATGCACGTAATCTCAATTATGAACCTGTTTCATTCGTTTTGGCTCGCAGATGCACTGTACACGTTCAATTTTGAATGCCGTAAGTTTTATGTTGTTTAATTCATATTCAGATAGAAGTGGTCTTGACACGTGGGTAAACTAAACACAATCAAATGTGTTATCGACATATTGATAGCCGAAGTGATGCAAAATGGGAATAAGCAAAAGAAGTGACTCTTTAAAAAAGAATAATCATTTTTATGCGCGATTTTTTACACGTACATGTACATTTAACGCCCTCGAAAAGCTTTAAATCCCAAAGGTTCATAAATGGTGAAATGCTGTAGCTGAGATAAGTTTTGCTGAGAATAATCCTTGGGTACTACAAGTGTCAAAACAGACCTCACCCGGTAAACATAAATACCGACAAAAATACCATCATTTAACTTATACCATATTTTTAATTTGTGATCAGAATTAATATTAAAAAATTTAGTATTAAAATGTTTCATGAGACAGCCTACAATTATTCAGATTCAAGATGATTTCAGGAACGCTTACCTGAATTACAAACAATATCTCCTGTTCTACTTAAGAATTCAAAATAAGTGGCTGAATCTTCACGTGCTTCTATGAACTGTGACGTCACTGAGCCGTAACCAGCACTGGTCCCTGCCGCAGCCCTTAACTTCTGGCTGCCAAGGTCGTCTGTCTGCGGAAAGAACGAATTAACTTTGAAAATATGTAATTGTATTGTCTTCAATACAGCAACTTGTCATTTTCTTCTTTCGCGACAAACGTTAACCAAAAAAAGTCCTTAAAATTGTTTGCTAAGACTTCATGGAACGCCTTTATCGCAGGTATATTCTTTGTAAGCGGATTTTCTTAGCTCAATACAGAAAGGGTAAGAGCCGTGTCAATATTATCATCCATAAGATGCGGAATTAAATAAGTCTTTAAAGCAGTGAAACATCAGATAAAATCAATAAATGCTGGGTATAAAGACGACAACAGCAGTTTGTACAAATGTTATCACGGTTTTTCATAATTATTGCCATAGGAAACAGTTGCGTAATGTTTATTATGTATATGCAGTTGTACATTTATCTCGCGAGCTCCGTCGATTTTGAACTTGAGTTGAACTGTCCCGGTAGCACTAAAACTTCTGAACTGTCCATTAGGTCCATAGTGGAACTCTGGCCAGAGATGGTCTTTGGTGACTTCGCCTGCCATCTACGTCACTTAAAATAGGTTTCAAAAACAAAATAATGTAATAAATTACGACAGCGCACGAAATGGGATATAGGGGTTAAATGGAAGACGATTGCTCGGCATTGGATATAAAACTGTTTGACTGGCTACGAGTCCGTGTCGTCTCTGTCGACAAAGGTCAGTCTGTGTGCAAGGCAGACAACTTTCATTTTTGATGATCTGTCTGATTTGTGCGAAATTTTGTGGTGCTGACAAAATGTCAACAGTAGATCATCTGTTTACGCATTTTGTGTTTTAACATATTAAAACAACCATGGCAACGCATGTAGCATGCTTCAAAACAAAGTCAAAATGAGACTAGTTTCAATTTAAACAGCAACAAGAATGCATTTAACTAGAAACAAAAGTCTTAAAAAAGAATATACAGTATATGAATATACCTTAAAGGTAGATTGTTCACACTAGGAGCACTATAGGCCTAGTTATAAAATCACGTTTATTTCAGTCTCTAAAAATAAACGATCGATCTCAATTTGGCAGAAGTTATTACAACATGCATTGCCCTTTAAATTAATGAGATCGAGGCCCTAGTTCGGAGAGTGAGAATGCAATATGCCACTGCCTGGATAGAAGAAACAATATCACAATGGAAACAGTGAGGTTCGCACTGAAGGCTGTTTTTCCCTGGTGCCAATTGCATAATGAACGTGAAGCGACCGTGTCGATCTTTCATAGATAATCGATACCTACTCTTACCAACACAGCAAAATGTATTTTTCTTATCATGCCCCACACTTGACCCGACTTTCTGTGTCTGCGCGGGCGAAAATTATTTTTTAGCCTCAGCAATTTTGTCGTTTGGGAATATTGATTCATGGAAACTCTTTCTGGTACACTTTGATTTGTCTATGGTGGTCTGCTTGACCTTTACCATAACGTGGAAGCAATTATTACGCTTTATTACGCTTTGTTGTGTCATATTATCTGGAAAGGGCCCACATGCATCGGCTAATATCAGTTCTTGATAACACTGAATACACGAAAGAAGAAATAACAGCCAACTGCTTCAACTAGATTGTGTCTAAAATAACCTAACCAATTTACGTTGAATTTTATTGAAGTGCGTGACTGGATTGAGTGCTTTGCTCATATAATCCTTGTTGGTTATGCGGAAATGATCAAACTGATTTCATTAGATTTATTTTTAGTAATTCAATTTCTACCTTTTTTATATTTTCTTTCGAAATGTGTTTCTGATATGATGAATTGATCATCTAGCTCACTGAATGTATGAAGTAATACATAAATGTCATCAACAATAAAAAACATAAGAATAGCAAAGTTATATATACACAGGTTATCGTTTGTGTGATTTTGTTTGGTTAGTAGAGCAGTGAACAAGATCCAGCACCCAGTGCAAACCGTCAGACAGCTCTAACCCCCAATACAAGCGTTATGTATGCAGAATCTAATGACAATCTGCAGGCGATGTGAAGCTGCAGTTCAAAGCCGGGGAAGGCAAGCCATTTATAATTGATCTGCTGTTTATTTTCTGGGTACATTTTTAATAAGATTCGTTTGATTTTTTTTATGATAAGCTGTTTTACCGGGAGGTACCTTTTTTTTCTGTAGGAGCACTCCTTTAAGCCATTTGCTATTAGACACTAAGTTAATATAGTCATTCCAATATTAAAATATATTTATGTGATGTTTTTTCTAATAGAAATCCCAACTTTAATACAAGGTTTATAAAATATACATGAAATCGTACAGCTAAAATACAAACGAAATCCCCAAAAATAACCGTGATAAAAGAAGGTTTTGAAAAATTCAAGGTGTTGCTCAAATTATGAACCTCAGTGTATGTGCAGGTCCCACGGTGAAAAGCTATACTGTACGTGTCATTGAGGTGTTACTGATGTGTTCCAGGCAATAAGTTGTGCGCAGATACGGGTGGCGCTGTTCAGAGATTATCTTACCAGCATCGATATCGGGCTCCTATGAATTGTCTGCAGAAAAAGGAGGCTTTTTTTTTACATTCATTTGCACCAAAATACACTTTTTGACAGGGAAACGTGCATGCGTCAGCAGCTAGTAGTGATGCAGCATATACACATGTATTATCTATCATTCAGACTTTGGACGAATTTTATTCGTTTTATTCATTCCAAAACAGTCTGACGCTTGTTGACATGGTGTGAAAGGGCTTTTATAAGCATTAAATATCTAATAGCGACAGTTTCATAGTCATCACGTATCGTACACAGCAGCTTTAATACAAATAACCCTGGATAAATATTATAAATTTTGTATTCTGCAGTACCTTGGTAGACTCACGGGTATTTTCTACAGGTTGAAAGCCAGATGATATTACTTGATACTTTTTTTTACTATTTTCAAAATAATGGTCAATCCAACAACGGAACTATGTAATCAAAAGGATTCTACTTTGTCCCTATGTACATTACCATGTCTATGTTCTGTGCACGGCACCAACACCAGTTCATGCGGCATAAATCTTAAATGATTTTGTGCTGAATTACTCATTTTCTTGATTTGCATGCGGTGTGTTTTACACAAGATAACTGGAACTGGTCACAAATGTCTATATTTAAAATTTAAACAGTGCGAAAATCTAAAAGTAAAATGAAATCCTGTATAGATTTATTTAATTAGTCGGTGGTTTACATTTGATGCCTCTCCACAAGAGCGACCAATTGTGCGACATTCACTTTCAATTGAAATGCATCAGGCTAAAATATCTACAGTAAAAAAGCAAATAATCAAGCAGTTTTCATTGACGGTTTTCAACCGTCCAAATGTTCCTTCTCCGAAATACCGACAATATTTCAGAAATTATAACGTACGACAGTTTTCAGCGATATGTTTAGCCTGTATTGCAAGCCTTCCCATTAGGACCCATAACCTTTAAATGCAGAAATACAAGCCAGCAATGAGAAACCCAAGGCTAAACATGCGCATATGTAATTAAACGTTACACTGCTGTGCATATAAATGACACGGCTTAAGGTGACAAGTAACAGTTCTTCGATGCATGTGCTTGATATTTGTGTTTCATATCTATATCTAGCAAATGACGCGCAAAAAGTACTTTTTTAACATTTGTAGACACTTGCTTTGAGGTATATTATCTGGACGTCTGACCGTCTGTTCAACACCCACTAGTACGTGTTCATGTGCCCTTCCCCGATCTCATTGGTCGCACGGTTCTTTCAGCCATAGCATGTGTCCCTTCTTCCCTTCATTCATCCCCTGCTTCGTTGGTTCATTTATTTGTGCATCCATTCATTCATCCATTCTTTAAGTTGCTTGTTCGTTTGTTCAATTATCCATTCTCCCAACCAATTTGCTCATCGGTCAATAGATCAAGTCTCTAGGACCATTCCAATTACATTTGTTCCTTTAAAATATACTGTTCGCGTTCAAAAAGGCCCCCAAACTCATAGTTACTTTGTCTATATACATGTATAAATACTGAAAAGCTACTCACATTTCCCCAATTCAGACCTTAAAAGCGATAAAAAATAAGAGCACCTGACGTCGATATTTTCTTATAAAGAGCAGGAAGACATAAAGGTCTCAGTGACTGGTTAGACATTAGGAACTATATCATTTGATCAGAAAGGTTTCAAACCAGGGGCGGATTTAGGCCGTCTTCTGGGTCTTCCGGAAGACGGTCAGATTTTCAAGTTTACATTGACGGGTATCTATTTTTTCTGTCGGAAGACGGTCAAAAATGGAGGTTGGATCAACAAAGATAATTTGGAAGACTGTCAGAAAATATCTCTGGATCCGCCCCTGCAAACATCGAGTCCAAGTGCAGGAATGGGTTGAGCAATGATTTGTGAGTAGGAGAAATACACCATTTTTGGGGCAAATTGAATTTGGCGGGAAAGTGTCGGATTGGATCCTTTGATTTTCTATAAAAATATACCGTGCTTATGTCACATTGCCTTTTTAATTTTTGAAATCACTAACCTTTGTCCCAAGAAAAGCGGAAATTAAAGAAATACCTTGGATTACACAACTTAAGTTCAGTAAGTGCTTTCATACTTCTTTATTTTATGGTTAGCTTTCAGTAAAGAACTTGATACAGCTAATGTCGCTTACTACTTGAAAATTGAACATGGTGTTATATGTGTTCATTTATTCCACCGTTAATCAATCAATTAATTAACCAATTATTTTTGAGCCCAAATCTTTTTATCCGTCCTGTCGAAACCAAATGGTAATACTTACGTGCTTAAAATTAGTTCTTTATCTATCGTAATTAGTCCTTAACCAAAACAGGCTTGAATGTATAAAAAGAAAGTGAAACCATGTTATGTGTATCAAACCTATTCATTTAACTCAAATGCTTATGACGGTTTCAGCGTGTGCATTTTTGATAAGACCTATGCTATCAATACCTGACGCTGGTATCCGGGTGCCCTTGGCCCAAGAAATGCCTCACTGACGCGTCTAACCATGCTAATTTTAGGTGGATGACGAACAGAATTCGCTCTGGATGCCACCCGCGCTAGCCCAGCCATCTTGTCTGCTACAACCAACTTATCTCTCGGCGTATCCTTTACTCCAGATTTCACCCGCTTGTCTGTTCTGTGCAATTAATTTGCTGCAAAGCAAACCAGGTGCTATATGCTGGTTTTTCTTGATTGTTAACGATTCTTCTTTCCTTCCGTGATTATCGACAGCTTGTATGTCAATGGTAAATTGTGGTTCGTTTTAACGCTTATCAAAGATCGCTGTCACGTGACAATTTGTCAAATTGACAGTTCTCATGTATGTAGGGTGTAGTCGCAGGCAGAGTTTCCCTAAAATTAAGCTCCTATCAATATTGGTTAGTTCGTTCTCTTTAGAATTTCCGAATAGCACAATACTAACAAGGAAAAACACAAAATGTTCACTATCACATGTGTAAAGTATAACTTGTAATGCATACAGCTGCTCGTCTCGAACGTTGTCTTTCCAGTCAAGATGGACCGGCCTTACTAAGCGGG